AAATAATCATTTGTTTTAGTATTCATGGTGGAGTGGATTAAACAATAGGAAGCATGCGAGTGACCTTGTTTTCTTTTTGGTTAATAAAGTGATCCTCGTTTTGCTCACTTGATAGTTCGTACCAACATGTTCAAGTTTTATGTAACTATTTTCTTATGAGTATATCGAAGCTCATTTTGTAGGATTTATATAATGGCCTGCACCATCAATCTTTTATTAATCATTTCTATCTAACTTGTCCATCTCAATACTCGTCAAAGAAAACTGCATTGCATTTTTTTTTGTTTGTATTGTGGCTGTGCCGCATGTTTATCATCATGTTGCTTCATAAAAAATAAAATGATAAATCTCTATTTACTAGAATACTAAATGGTTATATAACCACTAAAATCGGTTTAGTAGTTATAGATTGAGTAGTATGTATAAAGTATAGATTTGAATTTTGATATCCTGTTACAATTTGATATAGGTAAATAGTAATGATATTCATATATGTGGTTTTAATTTCATAAACAAAATGTACAGAAGCATAGTGATTGACCAACTAATAGTAGCCCTAAGTCGACGCAAAAATAATGATTCGATCTATGACTCAAAGATCTTGGCATTCAACATCTCATTAATTAGAAAGAGCAATATAAATGTGTACGAGTGAAAGAAAATGAATAAGGCATGTTTCAGTGTCTAATAAAAACTATATAAGATTATCTTCAAATAAAAAAAAATATTAGTTCACTGAAATTACATGTAATTTTCTAAAAAAAATAATTTATTTTTAAAATTTTACAAATTACAAAAATCACAATTTAAACTATATAATAAAAAAAAATTATTTATATATTATTTTCTTAAAATTATGATTATTATTTAAATATTTTTTAAAAAATATTCATATAATATTAATTATTTTAATATTTTAATTAATAATATACTTTAAGTTTACATGTCAAAACTTCTTTCTTATGAAAGGGAGGTGCTAAGGCTCTAATTGGAATTAATTAAATTCACGAAGGAAAGAAAATATGTCAAAACTATTATAATTAAATACAAGATAAAATATTGAATGTAAATTTTATAATATATTAGTTCGCGTAAGCCTATGATATACAAGATAAATCATTTGTGGAAAAGTAATATTTATTATTATTTTAAAAAAAAATAATAAGAGTTATATATATATATATATATATATATATTATTTTAGTTTTTCTTGTAGTAATTTTTAAGTTGTTAATATATTAAATAATGATTGATAGTTTCTATTTTAAATAAATAGTTAAAAATTACAATTAAAGTAGAATGCAATAATATTTAAACCAAGCTCTAGTTGTGATATTCCACCTCTCCCAGCATTTTAGAGATTACAGAGGAAATGCTTCATTCTCCTTTGCTATTAATTTTGGTTTCCTAGTCTATACTATTTTTATGTAAAAATAAATAATATATACAATTATCATTTTACTATTCTCTTTTTATTTATATCTATTTTTATATATCTTTTCTGTCGTATGAATATAATGCATAATATATTTTACTATATTAAAATTTGACGATTGTCACGATTTTAACGTTGGAAGATAATAATGATTAGAATATGAACATAATACATTATTCATGCTAGAAAGTAACATTCACATAAAAAAAAAAAATTAAAAAAAAAAAAAAACAAAGGAAACAAATGGTTAGAGGTTTATTTTTGTCTTTGTCAAAGAATTCTTAGACAATCCTCTTATTCTTGAGGGTAATTTTTTACCCGTGAGACTCACTTTCATTTTCACACAAATACTCACAAATTCACCCTTCTAACACTTTTTTTTTTCTTTCTAAATATCCTCTAATACATTCCCCTCTTCTCAAATACCCTCTAAATTTACTCTCCAAGCACAGTGTTGGTGACTCTTTTGCAAGTTCTCTATCAACCTTGTACTAATTTAATTTTGTGTTTCTTTATATTAATCTTTACATCATTAACTTTTAATTCCGTTGTTTTATAATAATCACTTATGCTTATATCTCCGCGATTTAATCACCCCTGCTACAGTGCCACTTCTTTCTTTGTTTACAATCTCTGCTACTCCTAATAAAAGTAATTTTAATTAAAATCATTTTGACTAATTTTATTTTTGCTACACCGCTAGAGATGTTTTTTCAAATTAAATTACAAATGTTAAAATTACTACCCACTTAAATATGAATCCAAAAACAAACATTTCTCCAAGAGGCATATATAAGAAGGGGCTTTTTCGCCTAAATAAATTTAAAATAAATAAAAATACACAAAATAAAAAAATAATAAATAATTTATCGGTATAGGTTTTTTTTGCCACGTAACAAAGTATGAAGAAAGAGAATGGAGGGAGGAGTTTTCTAATAAGACAAAATAGGTGAAGACAGTTCCTTTCCCCATGCGTCATGTGTGTGTATTTTGTGAAATGAGATGGCCCATCCCCCCTATGTGCCATCTATATATTATTTTTTTTAGTGATTTTGTGATAGTCTTTGATCAGAAGTGAATAAATGGTGCAAGAGCCCTTTAGTTTTGATGAACAGCAAGTTTTTTCTCTCATTCTAAATTTAAAATTAATATTTATTTAAAATATGTATAGTTTAAATTTTAAATTTGAAAAAAAGTTTATAGTTGAACTTGTTGAGTTGCCATAGTCGTTCTCCATTAATTTAAAATTTAAAACTATATAATTATTATATTTCACATTTTTTATTTTAATAATTATTTCAAAATTTATAGGTTATTATCTATACATATTTTAAACAAATATTTTTTTTAATATTACAATATACAATAAAATTTAAACAATTTTTTTTTAAAACTTACTTGATATATCTGTTTTTTAACCGGCATAATAACACACAATTAATCTAAAATATAATTAAATAAATATTAAATTCTATACTATAAAATTTAAGTATTTACAATAATAACAAAAATTGAAACCAATTTTACAATGAAAGAGGAGAACACCATCTGAATTTATAGAGGAAAACCATAGAGAAGAATGAGAGAATAGTGACGAAGTGTGCAAGAAAAAACATGTTGTTCATCAAAACTCAAGGGTAGGCATGGCAATAGGGCGGGGGCGGGTTTTACATTCCATGCCCCCACCCCCGCAAATTTAAACTGTCCCTGCCCCGCCCCTGATACTCGCTGGAGGTAAAATCTGGGTACCTATCCCTGTCCCCGGCGGGGTTCGGGTTTCCCGCCCCACCTCCGACCCCGCTCCTACATCTTTTTTCTTTTAAATAAATACGAACAAATTTAAAAAAAAATAAAAGAAAAATAAAATAATACAAATTTTTACATATAAATATTTTTAATTTTGGTTTATATATATAAAAAAATAATTTTTTAATTATATTATTAAGCAGGAAGGATACGAGGGCGGGGGCAAGGCGGGTATTAACATCCTCGTCCTCGCTCCTGCCCCTACCCCCAATTTTATCAATTGAAAAAAACTTGAACCCGAATCCGAACTCAGTAAACACGGGTTTTCCCCGTTCAAATCGAGGGTGAGTTCAGGCAGGTACCTATGGGGGCGGGTTAGATTGTCATGCGTACTCAAGGGCCCCCTGCACCATTTATTCACTTCCGGTCAAAGGCTACCACAAAACTACTAAAAAAGTGATATATAGATGACGCATAGGGGATACGTCATCTCATTTCACAAAACACACACGTGGCGCATGGGTGGGAAGAGTCATCTTCACCTATTTTGTCCTATTAGAAAACTCCTCCCCCATGCCCATTTTTCACACTTTCATTCCACAACACATACACAGATTATGCATAGGTAGGAGGAGTCATCTTCACCTATTTTGTCTTATTAGAAAATTCCTCCTTGATGCTCCTTCTTCACACTTTGCCACGTGGCAAAAAAAACCTATATCGATAAATTGTTTTTATTTTTATTTTTATTTTATATATTTTATTTATTTTTAATTTATTTATGCGAAAAAGCCATACAAAGGCACCCCATGACCCATGTAACATGTTTCCTAATTAGACCTACTCCCTCATTGTGATGAAACTAGCTAACATAAAGTGAATATCACACGCACCAACTAACTAGATCTAGTAGTAGAAATGCACAAGGAGACAAGAAGATGTTGTGGACCCAATGTCACATCATTGGAAATGTTTGTCGAAGGGAAAGGTTTTTAATTTAAGGGTTGTGTTGGACCCACATGAATTGTATGGTGCAGTGTTTTAAAACCCAGACCGACCCGGCCGGTCGGACCGGTTGGACAGGGAACCGGTGGTTCAGCCGGTTCGAATCTGAAGTTGGATCGGTTATGCAGTCGACCCGTTTCAAACCGGATTGAACCGGTCAATTTTCCGGTTCAACCGGTGAACCGGGGTCAAACCGGTTCAACCACTTTTTTTATATTTTTTTTTAATTTTTTTAAGGGACCATAAATCACAAAAATAATAATAAAAATTGAATCTCTTAATGAAAAAGCAAGGAGTCTTATTAAATATAACAATGACTACTTGTTCTAATATATTTGTTTGCAATATATACAACTTAAATAACTTTTATAGTATATTATTAATTTTAAATTATATATTTAATAATGCAATATCTATGTAAATATTACATATATTATTTTGTGATATTAATTGCAAGCATATTATATATGTACATATTGTTTATATTTTTAATTTGTATTAATATACCGTTTAACATGTAATTTTTTAATGTATTTTTTTACAAAATAAAAATAAAAATAATTTTAAATAAGATAGAAAAATTGAAATTTAAAATAAGATATGAATTTATTAAAATTTATAAGTATAAAATATATTTAATATAAATATTTTTTAATAAAAATCGAGTCATGCGGTTCAACTAGTGACCCACCGGTTCAACCTTTGACCCACTGACCCAGTACCTTAACCGGTTCGATGACCGGTCCGGTTTTTAAAACTATGGTATGGTGCCCTTCCTTTTTGCTCTTTTCCTTAATTATATAATGCAGGCCACTCTTCTTGGTTCCTCCATAGTCCATAGACCATAGTCCATAGTCCTTAGTCCCTATCCCCCACCACACGCCCTCTCTGTCTTTTCTCCTTTTCCTCATTTCACTTTTATTGACTTTGTTTTCAGCTATAAATCCTTCTTCTTCTTCTTCTTCTTCTACCGTTCTAGTGTGTGTCCTATTAGACGTTGATCCATGAAAGATGGTGGTAGGAAACAGGGTGCAGCCTCACCCTGTGCTGCATGCAAGCTGCTTCGAAGAAGGTGCGCTCAGGACTGTGTTTTTGCTCCTTATTTTCCTGCGGATGAGCCTCACAAGTTCGCCAATGTGCATAAAGTCTTTGGTGCCAGCAATGTCAACAAGATGCTTCAGGTTCAAATGCATGCCTCTCTCTTATGCCTACTTCATTCTTCTCATTCTTTTTCACACCATGTTCAAATTAACACGTCCATTTATCTTAAATGTTTTACCCTCGTTGCATAAGATTAAATTTAAGAAAATGTTTTTTTTTTCTTTCAGAAATATGTTTTAAAAGTAATTATTTAGTTAAAATAAACTAAACTAAATTAACACTAATTCACTAGTCCTTTGGTTCTGTTTGGTCCCACAAGTGTATTATTTGGTTCAAATTTTATTGTAATCTTGAGTCTGATTAAAAAAAAAAATGTTAGATTGAATAAGTTTGTGGTTAAGGTTTCAAAAGATTAGTTTTCCATGAAGTAAATATATACTCCAACTATTTCAGGATATTTTACCCGTTATATTAAGCATATGTTTTTTTATGTTTAAATATATTTATATTTCATAAAATTTATTGTATTTTTATTTTTATTTTTTAAAATTTTAAATTATTATTTTTAATTTTCTAATTTTAAAAAATCCTTACTTTAGTTTTTAAATTTAAATTTTGTTAAAAAATCTGTTAAATACCGTTATATAAAATCTACTTTACCCCTATTAATAAAAACATGAGATTAAACTCAACTAACACCGCATAATTATCTCAATTTATCACTTTTAAATATATTATTAATGATTTAAAAAAATAAAAAATAAAATTTAAAAATTACAAAAATTAAAAATAATAATTTTAAATTTTAAAAATTAAAAATAAATTAATGCTAAATATAAAAGACTAAGATCATATTTAAATCTTTTCTTAATTAAGTTTACATATGTCAAGTCTCCTATGGATTAAACATTTTCATTTTCTAAATGAAGAAAATGGATACGGTGGTAAAGAAGACTAATTTTCCGGAGGTTTATGCTAGAATGTTAATATAGAGAAATTATTAAGTAATTTTAAAAGATTAGTTTACAATTAATCTCTACATCACATATTATTAACTGTACTATTTATAAACACTTATACTTAATAATTTAGAAACTGTAACTGTAAAACTAAAGACACATAGAGGATGGAAGTTAATAATACACACCTTAGAGACATGAAAAGTACCCCATATGATTGATGTGATAATACAAGTGAGGAAAAAAAAAAATTTAAGTGGCTTCTGGTTGTAAATTCAAAATTTTCTTCTTCTCCCCAGAGAGGGAAATCACTTATTTAGATGTATTTAAAAATGAATTGATATGTACAAATTTTTAATTTTTATATTAAAATATATTTTTCATTAAACATAATTTTAAATTAATATTCAAACATATATTTAATGATAGTAAAGTTTTTTTTAAAATATTTAATATAATTTAAAATAATTCTATTCAAATAGTATAAAACTAATATATAATCGTATAACATATTTTGAAAGAGTTTTGTGATTCATGATCAAGTAGAAATATTTTAATTAAAAAAAAAAGTTAATCATCTATACATTGTGAGTGTAAAGTTTTTTTACACGAACAACCAATCATATCTTTTAATAGTGTCATGTTAGTTGCTTATTTAATGAAATAAAAATAAAATAAAATAATTTAAAAGATATGATTGATTGTTAGTGTAAAAAACTTTATACTGACAGTGTATGGATGATTAATTTAAAAAAAAAAATGGTTGCAATGTAGAAAGAAAAACCGTTAGGTTACTTGTGAGGCCGTTACCGTTAATGAGTGCACGTTGAGAAGTGACTTAACGTATTTATCGGCGATGTTTGGCATAAACTAGAGTGACGCTTTCCTTGACCATAATAACTCAATATTTCACACTCCATTTTCTCTTTAACCTTCAACATCTCTTTATTTTCTAATGTTGCAAATCTTAAACTTAAAATTATATACATATATTACTTTATACTAATTAAAATCATGTATAACAGACAAAAGAATATAACACAATATGAAAAGCATAGAATTGATATTTTCCAAGTAGCCCTTGAAAATGTAGAAAAGGTGGGGAGGATTAGGCATTCGGCGCCTTCAAACCTCACATCTTACGTCCTAATCCCATTGTCTGCTTTTTCCATTCCTTCATATTTCAATATTAGGTCAGTCTCATCTTTTGGTCTGCCATGTGTTTCGTAAAAAATAAAAAGGAAAAAGACAAACGAAAAAACTAATGTTTTGAAAAGGTTGATGTGTGGCATAATGTTTCTTTAGTTGTTTGGAAAATTAAATTGTATCTCTTTCTTGGATCGTATATTGGGTGACCCAATGGGAGCTTCAAAACGTGGTTTCGACACCAAAAGTCAGGGTCAAGCTTAACAAGCAACGTGAGATTGTGTGAATCAAACCACTCTCAACAATCCAAACTCTTCACTTTCCATTGTCATAAAATAAGATATGATTGAAGTAACATCCTGCTTCTGCACCACGTGAACCTGTTTCTCAAAGTCAATTTTCTAATCAAAACTCCAATAAAATTACTAATTTCATTGTCAAACATCCAATATTTTAAATTAACACACTTTAATGTATATATATTATTTTACAAAATAATTGTACTAACTATTACTTTTAAAATAACCATTAAAAACTGATTTTTTTTGTTTGTTTAGTCTTATAGATAAATAGAGAGAGTTATTTTAACTGCTCCGTAAGAATTAAAAAGTAATAATTAATTTAACTACATATCTTTTTTAAAAATTTAACCTAATAGCTCTATAAGTACCTCCTTAAAAAAAAGCTACAAGTACATCATTCTTTTAATCTCTTTTATCCAATTAATTAATGCATATCTACTTAAATAAAAACTTTAATGTTCTATGCAAAGTGTGGTTCAAATATATTTAGTCCCTTACAATTTTTGAAATTTAATTTTAGCCTTCAAAAAAAAATTGTACTACTTTGTTTCTTTAATTTGAAAATACATTACTCTTGATTCTCAAAGCAATTTAAATAACACTTAAAAGTAGTAAAATAAAAATAAATAAAGCACTATCTGTGACATTTTAAAGTCCAAAATGCACACATTTCTAAATCAGTGATCAAAATAGAACAAAATTTTTCAAATGACTAAAATCAAACTTGAAAAAAAAAATTAAGAGACTAAAAATATGTTTTAACATAGACCACCAAATTACCAACACATTTCACCAATTACCTTTTGTGGTGTTTATAGGACTTACCAGAGCATCAGAGAGGAGATGCAGTGAGCAGCATGGTGTATGAAGCAAATGCAAGAGTGAGAGACCCTGTTTATGGCTGTGTTGGGGCCATTTCTTCTCTTCAGCAACAGATTGATCTCTTACAGACCCAATTGGCTGTGGCCCAGGCTGAGGCTGTGCACCTTAGGGTTCGACAAACTGCATCCTTCTGGAACCCAGGGCCCACTAGCCCAACCAATAGTGGCTCTCCATCATCCAAGATCATTGAATCACAGCCCAAGCCCATTTTTGATATGGACATGGTGGTGGACCAGACCACCTATGGTGATTCAATCTGGTGATCCATGCTAGTACTTCATTTAATAGTAATATAAGTATACCTACTTAGATCATCAAAAGATACAAACAATTTAAGGAGGCATTATTTTATCAAGTGATGTCTTCTATATACTTTTACTTTATTAGGTTTATTAGGTTGAAGAGTGTTAGCCACATATTTTCTGATACATTTCTTTTATTTAATTTTTTATTGTTGATCAAAATTTATTGAAAAATACAAAATCACAAGTAATTTTCAATAAATCTCAATCAATAATAAAGAATATGTTTAAAAGAGTGTATTAAAGAGTATGTTGCTAACTTTGCTGGTAGGGTAGAAGTAGAACTATAGAAGCAGTGGTGGCTGCGGCTGCGGCTGGGGCGGTGAGACCGAAGAGAGCTGTGGCGGAGGCCGTTCGCCCGCTTAATTAATTTGTTTGGAAAATAGATTTCTCATTGATGACATGTTGTGTATATATTATTATATATCTCTTTCACTTGACATTGTGTGAAGGGTAAGCCTATATGGTTGGATTGTGGACAATTTGCGAAAGGTTGCGTGCAATTTTTCTGTTGTTTTTCTATTGAGGTTTTGACTTGATCTTTGCAATTTACAAGGGAGAGGCCCCCATAGATAGGCATTGATTTTCATATGAAATGTTGGGGTATTACTTTACTCATTTTGAAGTTTTAAGAATTAATGTGACGATCCAAAAATTCAAATTCATATATTGATTAACTAATTACCAAACTAGACTTATCAATTAAATTAAATTAAAATAATTAGTAATGCAAAGATTTTTTTATGCAATTTAATAATACATTGTTCTATGCAACATAATTATTGATTTTTGAAATGATTATTTTAAGAGTAGTGTTACAACGGACCATATCCTCATGGTCTATCCCTAATCTTTCTTGATCTTGTTCAAGGACTCAGTATATCATTTTTACACTTCTATCCATAGTTTGATAGTAAATACAAAAAAAAAAAAAAAAAAAAAAAAAAAAAAAAAAA